GGCGGTCAGCTGATTCACTCGTGACAGCAAAAATGGTGTAACTTCTTTGGAAACAATGTTCTTAGACCTGCAAAAAAGTAGTAGCTTCCGATGCGTACGGTTTTTCGAGTATAGATTCTGATGATAATGCATAGCGAATACACTAGTACTACATGTGGTCTAACTTCAGCCATCTTTTGAGCTCAGGCCGATGCCTCAACCCTTGCCCACGTAAGGTTCATCGCACCTAGACCAAAGCTACCCCCCCCCCCTAGCTGCTTTGTGGATGATATACAGGGAGGGGGCAAAAAAGACACTTTTCTTCCTCGACTTTCAAGGCGATATAAGTTACACTTTATTAAATTCTGATTGGACATTTCACCATCATATTCAACAGCACATTGTACACTATCATGATACTCCGCCACAGCCTTCTGGACGAGCGCCATCGAGAGATTCTGCCACGCGACCGTGATTCGGTGCCTGAGTTCAGCGAGATCGTTGATTTCTCCGCCACTGTAGACCACCCTGTTGAGCTCCGCTCGAACCCGGTAATCGAGGGGTTTAGGTCAGGTGACACACTTAGATATTCCGTCTTCTTCAGGTACTCAACGCCCTTCCATTCCAAGTAGGCGAGAGTTTTTCCAACGCCCTTCGATTCCATGTGGTGGCACCCAATCCTGTAGCAGTACAAAGTTTCCAAGATGGTACGGGCGACGACATGAAGGCAGGATATTCTTCTCGAGTTGCTCGATGTAACGTCAGCGCTCACCTTCAGTCCGGGTCCACGAAAAAATATCGGTCTTCCCATTCCAGGTACTTCCGGTCCATACCATCAACCCGCGCCTTGGCGACTGCGGTGAAGATGATATCCTGGACCGTAGCGACGTTGTCGGAGCTGCTCGATGTTGGAGGTCTTCCAGATCAAGAGTGCCGGTCTCCAGGTAGCTGTCCATGGGTGACTCCATACAAGAAGTTTCGCAGCTGTTTGGAGGTGACGTGAATTCCAAAGGTCTTCTCCAGTCAGGCTGCGACTGGAGATGACTTCATATTTTGGTGTACATGATGATGGGCGAGAGCCAGCTCCTGCTTATCGAGGAACATCTTGGGTATCTTCCGCCCTGGTACTCGTATCCACGTCTTCTGTCTGGGCTGCGAAAACTTTACTGATATGTGACTCGGCCAAAGTGTCTTTTTTTTGCCCCCTCCCCTGTATAAATAATAGTTTTTGCTGCAGACTGTCAGTAGAAAGGTGGCTTCGCAGCGGCGCCAACTCACTTCCAACTTCTTTGTTCTCATTGCTCGCTTCAAAAATCGGTGGGGAACGGAGCGGGCGCTGTGCCAAAGCTAGCCTACTCCAAAGACGGCCCTCTAACTCCAGCGAAAACGACTGTATGTGTGCGGGTCAAATCAGTGTCAACGGTCGATCGAATTCTAGCTCATCTTGATTTCCAAAGAACACCGAACAATGCCTTTCTAAGTGTGGCAGCTTTTCTCTGCAGACATCTCGTACGCACGAAGATACGGTAGTTGAACAGTAGGATGTTGACCGTTCCTTCACGATACGCCACGCTCTCCAGTTGCTCTCCCGTGTCGGCTTTCAGCTCGCAACAACGGGATGTTCGACGTTTTTAGTCATTGTGTATTCTACCCCTAAGGCGCGAAGTGCGCGTATTCGACAGTAAAAAAAATCAACCGTCACAAGCTAGATCAGGCAGAAAGTTGACGCGGATCTTCCAGCAGCTGCACTATGAATGCAACTTATGTATTTGCTCTTACTTGGCCTCATTCAGTGCCTCCTGAATAGCGTTTTCGATACTTCTTCCATCGCCTTGGAGCGCTTCCGGAATAGGACACGCGAGAACGGTACCTGCTTCCAGTCTCAAGGCGTCGGATATCTCTAGAAGCCAAAGAACTTATTAACTTATCAAGTTTCAAGCCTACAAGAAAGCTATGATACCTATGCTTCTGACGACGTCACTGAGATCTTCGGTGCAGTATTGCCCCATCGCTTGCGATTCTTGTGTGAAAAAGCCAGGAAAGACGTTGCGTTTGCCAAAAACTATGCAATTGACCGAATGCGTTTCCTTAAGCGAGATAAATATCGAATATTGCGCTTGAAGAGTGTACAGCCTTCTCTCACGAGGAATTCAACAGTTTTCGGAATGTCCAGGATGCTCTTCACTCCTGCACAGACCACAGTCACAGGTGTACGCATTAGCTCGATCAGGTCAGCTGAGATGTCCAGTGCTGAAAACAACAATGAGTCTTGAAAAGCCTGTCCTAAAAAAATTACGAATCATTAGCTCATAACAAACTTTGGTCGACTCCTCTGTGGACACCGCCGATACCACCAGTTGCAAATATTCGAATTCCGGCCATATTTGCCAAATACATGGTGGCAGCTACCGTAGTTCCTCCAATCAGTTTCTCAAATGGTTGTAAAGCTTCAGCAGGGCGTATTGACACACTTCATTATTTCACGCATATTATCCCAAGTATTACGTTATTCTGAGCTTTTGAGGGTTATTAATTCTACGGTGGGTCACTCGTACTTATTGCTCTGCAGATGCGGAAGGGGAAGGAGGTGTCAGAGGGGCTGGGCGCGACGGCAGCCCCTTTCCCATCAGTTGTTGCTGCTAACCAACGATTAATGGAGAGCTGGCTGGCTCTTCGACGAACCCAGTCCCCCACCCCGCACATCCGCAGCGAACCAGACTGTACCCCTGCCTGCACGCTTTACTTGGGTTAGAAGTGAAGGTTAGGTTCGTACAGGCGGAAATCAACAGGTGCAGTTTTCGAAGTAATAGTGATCCATATACAGTAGAATGCGACTCATATCATAGGTATCTTACCTTATTGAGAGCATAGGCTATGTCCCTACGTGACACCTTCACCGCCTCCTTAGACTCTGCGACGTTGGCTAGTTGATCACTTGAGAGACCAATATGAACCTTTCCGTCGAGAAGAGCTATGGTAGCCGGCACACTACCTTCGCTTCGTACAGTATCCTCCAACAATTGAGCTGTCCTCAAATATTAGTTCTTGTAAATGGGACCAAATGGTGAATGGTTTGGTAGAACTTACTCCAGATTATTGGGATATGGTAAACCATGAGTGATTACTGTACTTTCCAGAGCGACAACGCCTTTTTTCGAGGCCAAGGCTGAACGAACAGCAGCTGGAACGACTGAGCGGAAACTGCGATCTGAGGCGGCAGTCCATGTAGCCTCCGACTTAACAGTAGAGAAAGACGACTGAGGCTCATTAACCAGCTGGAATGCTGTTCAATAATTCAGCCTTTCTTTCAAATCCATCGCCACAAAACGAATGATCGAACTCTTTGAAAACTACTTTTTCTGTGAATTAAGAAAAAAAACCATCTGGACAATACAGTTATAAACATACAGGGATCACAGGACTACGAGGCGATATTTCTCGTCCTTGAGACTCTTGTGCTGTAAGTCCATCACTACGCGTTACAGGACATGACATGAACATAATTGTCAAGCGCACGGCTGCTACCTGCTCTACGTAACCCGGAAATGGGAAGGGCGTTGCCACGCACTGTTTCGCAAGGTGTTTTCATTTCAGACATGTCGTATATCTTGTGCTGGGCAGAGACATGGTCGAACTCATTCTAAAACGGCAGCATGTCACAAGGTCTGTTCTGAAAAAAAGAGGATAAGTGTGCATCAACGTTTTCCTGCGCCGTCTGCGCACTCTTATGCACTCATTGTCTACATCTCTGCCCGAGAGGCAGCGACCTTCCTCACTGCGCTCACAGCTATTTTTGAACATCCTTCTCGCTTTATTCTTTCACACGTTTGGCCTCCCGCCTTATTGAGCGTCTCCCGTAGAATGTATTATACTAAATAAGATAGTTTAAGATGGTAAATGGAAAACGATTCGCCCAATTTTCTTGGGAAAAAAATCAAGGAAAAACAAAAAAAAAAAAAACAGAAAAGGTGTGAATGACCGGCCAAGAAACGATCTTTCTCCAGCCTGCTAAAAACTAACAAAAGGGGTCTTTAGGTCATTTACAACCCATTTCTAAATTGGTTCGTTGGCATTTTGTAGAGCGTTCATTTGGGTACCACCAAAGTGTAGACTTCTGCGACTTGCACGCTTCTAGGGGGAGACAACAAAGATAAGAATAAAGTCTTTGCCAATGAACAGAGTCCCTTTCCGAGATACGCCACGCATTCTATTTCCATTCAGAATCGCAGCTGTTCGTTAAACGCTATGTAGCCTAAGCAATGAATTGAGTGGCCAGCCGATGTACGAGTCAAGGTTTTTATCCTCCCACACGAATCTAGCACCAATTCACCACTCGCGAATGGTAGAAGGCTTGGTCAGCCTGTGTGGAACCCAATACTGGATTAGCCTGGGACAGCGCGTGGGTAGAGTGCCGCTTGCCTCCCTTCCGGTAGCGAAATCTTCCTTTCCTACAAATTTATCCTGCCGTGTTCATATAAGTCCGTACTTCCTGTTCGATTAGAAACTGTCCAAGAACACCAACACGAAACCATTAAGCCAAAAAGCAGAAGAGGTTTCTGTTGCAAAGTTCGTCGGGAATACGTAGAGTTTTCCATCCCATTTAAGCATTTCCGGGAGCGAGCAGAGAATGAAGTACACCTTAGCGGTCTACGCACGAGCCTCGTCAACATTCAGCAAGTCGTTTCGGAAAGTGGTTCCCGCCCGCAAAGAGCTCCTTTGCAAGAGCTTCATTCCGGGTGTTTTCGGCAATTTCTTATAGTTTTTCCTAGTATCGGATCACTTAGCATCTTCACATGAACTTTTGAGTGATAATCATACACTAGACCAATGTGAATGTGATTATGTCTTTCAGCTGCTCGAATTGAGGCACCAATACACGTAGTATTGCAGATGTCTGCCCACTGTCCTCTTGCGAATCAACAAATCACAGACGCTTATTCACAGTGGAAACATGTGTTCCGTTGCAATTTCTCATGATACGCATTCTGCTTTTTAGGAAAACGTGTGCGTTTTCTAAGTCGTTGCGACAACTCATCTTTTCCGGGGAAGGAGCAATTGGAGTACCGTCATACTCCGGTAAGCGACTTTTATAGAAGTAAGTCAATGCAGGGAATGATTTTCTTTCTTCAGATCAGAAGATACCTGGCTTGGAATACCCAGTGACAAGACGGTTAAGATGTTTGGGCCAGGTTAGAGAAAATCGAAGAAAACATTGACCCACTTCTCCCTATACGACTACGTGAGACACCGGCAGCTCACGAACATTCGCCATTATGAAACAATATGAGCCACCGATGGCAATCGACATCTCGCAATACTCTTTCGTTTGTTGTTTGCAGTTTCCACAGGACATTTTGGGTTTCTATGAGCTCTTATAGATGAATGATGAAAAAGATTGAGCGAGGAGTATGCTGCTGTTTTCGCGATTTTTTCAAATGAAAAAAAATTAACCATTAAGCAGTTACTGCACCAAAACCCCGGAAAATTCCGCTGTAGTGTACTCCCGTGGGTCTTAATCAGGGCCCTGATCACGAATGAGGCATTCCTTTTTGGTGCCCCTCCGCTTAAAACTAAGTTATATACCATTTTCACTTTAAATCGGACACTTTTCAAACCAAATCGGACACTTTTCAAACCAAATCAAATCGGACACTTTTCAAACCAAATCGGACACTTTTCAAATCAAATCGGACACACCCCTTACAATTAGGTGGTTGATAACTAGACCACACTAGGTACTGTTGCAAGCCCCGCCCCATTATCCCCGCCCACTTCTCAGCGCGGACAGGGTTTTCCGAGATGCTTCATGAAATCTGCTCCCTCGACTTTTTTCGTTTTTGCCCTTTGCACACACACTTCAACTGAAAAAGATTGATACCTATACAGATCTGACTCCGCCCACTTAACAATGAAGTTGCGTGAGTTCCTAATATTTTTATAACTCTTTCGCACGTCGTTCTTTCACATCCAATCCAATCTTCACAAAACGAATAACCATGCACAGCACACCAGGCCCCGCCCCTCTGACCCCGCCCACTTGTGTTTATCGCGGAATTTTGGTTTTTCTTCCGGATTTTCGCTTTTTTAGGCTTTAGCGATTGGCTCCGCCCACCAATGGAAGCTCCGCCCACTTTGGGGAAGCCCCGCCCACTTTTCGAAAATGATGCAAATCGGCGGGCTAGTGTCCGTTATTACGGCCTCTCCCGGCACATAGAATAAAAAAAAAGGGAAAAACAGGGAAAAAAAGGGAAATTTTGTTCTGAGCGACGGGAGAGGCCGTAATCCGCCAGTACGGAACAGCCGCTGATTATGCATCTTCGAAAAAATGAGCGGAGCTTCCATTGGTGGCGGAGCCAATCGCGTAAAGCCTAAAAGCGAAAATCGAAGGAAAACCAATCATTCCGCAATGAACAAAGTGGCGGAGGTTCAGAGAGCGGGCCTGGTGTGCTGTGCATGGTTATTCGTTTTGTGAAGATTGGATGTGAAAAGAACTACGTCGAAAAAAGTTATAAAAATTCAGAACTTACGTAACTTCATTGTTAAGTGGGCGGAGTCAGATCTGTATAGGTATCAATCTTTTTCAGTTGAAGTGTGTGTGCAAAGGGCAAAAACGAAAAAAAGTCGAGGGAGCAGATTTCATGAAGCATCTCGGAAAACCCTGTCCGGGCTGAGAAGTGGGCGGGGATAATGGGGGGGGCTCGCAACAGTACCTAGTGCGGTCTAGTTATCAACCACCTAATTGTAAGGGGTGTGTCCGATTTGATTTGAAAAGTGTCCGATTTGGTTTGAAAAGTGTCCGATGTGAAGTG